CCTGGCGAGCCAAACGAGTCCTCCTCCTCCTCCTGCGACGGCGCTTCACTGGGCTTGAAACTTTCACTTGGCTGGATTCACTTGACTTGGAACTTGACTCACTTGACTTGGAACTTGACTCACTTGACTTGGAACTTGACTCACTTGACTTGGAACTTGACTCACTTGACTTGGAACTTGACTCGGCGGCACTTGACTCACTTGACTCACTTGACTCACTTGACTTGGAACTTGACTCACTTGACTCACTTGACTCACTGGGAGACTCAGAAGACGATGCACTTGACTCACTGGAAGACTCAGAAGACGATGCACTTGACTCACTGGAAGACTCAGAAGACGATGCACTTGACTCACTGGAAGACTCAGAAGACGATGCACTTGACTCACTGGAAGACTCAGAAGATTCGGCTGGCACGCGCTCAGACTCAGTAGAAAACTCTTGAGGCAGGAATATAACGGAGCTTACGTGAAGTGTTAGAACGTCGGGATTCACATGTTGCGTGGATACGGCGGACCCTTTACGAAGCGCTGGTTCAAGTGGGCTTTCATGTAGCGCAAACTCGGCGGAGCACGTGTGAAGCGCTGATTCACCGGGAGACACTTGATGCGTGGATTCAGTGGGTACCTTGTACAATGGCGAATCGTCGGATCTTTTGTGAAGGAAAAGTTCCAAAAAATCCACAGTAAAAAGCGAACCGCTCATGGAAAAGGCCAGGTCAATATATTGAGTAAGAGTCCAGCTTGAACTCGGAAACGGTATAGCAGAGCCGAGTGGTTCAGACAGTCCTCCCCGAAAGAACATCATCAAACAGAAATCATTCAAGTAGGACTGACGAGCGAGCTTCAAAAAATCTGTCACAAAAACCTTGAGAGGACGTTCTCCTTGACGGAGGCTTACGATCTGCGCTGTGGGATCCATATCGAGGTCCGTGTTCCTCTCAGCCGCTGGATCAGAATTGGCTCAGTATTCTGTCATGAACTGCTCGGTGGAAACAGACAGTGGTGATCCAAATGCAGGCTTTATTGAGAGGACAATCCAGAAACAGGTACGAGAGAACAGGCAGATGTCAAAACCAGGTGAGCAGTCCAGATCAGCAAACATATAATGCAAGGATGAGGCAAACGGGAAGACCAGAAACAGGCAGGGAGTCCAGGAACCGTGAAACTAGGAAACACTAAGGAACTAAGGAAAACGCTTAGGATGCAGTGAGACACATACAATACTGAGCAATGAACCAAGGGAAAACTCAGGCTTAAGACAGGTGCGCTAAACAAGATAATCAAACACAGGTGCATGAAATCAACCAAAATCAGTCCAGGGTGAAACCTAAAGGAAACAATAAACTAGGAAGGAGTGCCCCCCAGAGGCTCAAGCGGGCACTCCAGCCGCAGATCGTCACACTTTGACACGTGTATGTTGTGGGAGTAACAGGTTATTTGTCACAACAAGCGAGAAAGGTTGACATGGAGCACGCTAAATCTCCAACCTCTGGGGAATCACTCGAAAAGAAAACGCTCGTAATAAAACAAGAATCAACATTGGCTTGGCTTTTCGGAGATTGTTGTAAAAGCGACGAGGAGATGGTGTTTTTATTACTAATGAGTAATGTATTTTTTTGAACAGATAAATTGCCATATGTAGCTCTCTGACAGAGTTCATTGTAAAGCATTATATCTATTTTGAAGGGTCATTTCATTATGGGTTGTTGTTGTGCTGGAATTTATTTTCAAGGAAGGAATGTCTATTAATGGGTATACAGTAACGTCTTCAGCTAGTCAGCTTGAGATCCTTTCCATCTTATATCTCTTAAGCCTATAATGAATGTTTTATGAGCAGTAGGATGTATATCTATATCTATATCTATATATATATATATCCACACAGTCACGCAGAGCCAAAGCAAGACCAAAACAATGTTCTTCCACAAAATGCTACAGGACCAAAAGTTACATAGTGTACCTTTAACCAATTTCAACTTCAATTTTAAATTATAGATTCAACTACTCAAGAGTTGAAATAACTTATAAATTCAATTTTATTATACTTAAACATTTAAAGCAGCAACTGAACTTAAGTTTGTAAGTCGAATCGGGGAACCTTTTTATAGTGTGGGCAACGTATTAGCTGAAAACAGTTGTTTTAGTATCAGTGATATACTGTTCATATTTTTAATTAGATTTTATTTTTATATTTAGTGTTTTCATTTAAAAGTTTGAGAATTTTGTTTGTTTTAGTTATTTTAGTATTTCAACTCAAACTAAGCAAATATTTTTTTTATTTAATTTCATGTAATGATTCTTTATTATTATTAGGCAACATTAATAACTAATGTGAAATGCTCAAACATCCTCACTTGTGTATTTTCTGCGAAACTAGTGTCCCACTTCTCCTCAAACTATATCTGCAGCTGCAGCCAAAACCATAAAGCGCTTTCAGGCACGTCTCTCATCCGCTGCCTGATTCTCTTCATTGTGAGTTTGATTAATTGCAGATTACAGAGTTTACAGTTTCATTCTCCATAACACCACTCCACAGTTATTAAAACAAACGTCTCTTGAATTAATCTGAATGATTTACAGACGGTGACTACTGCCAAAAACACTGCACTACCACACAGAACCGCCCATCAGCGAGAGAAACCTGCTCAAAAACGACAAAAACACATTATCTGACCAGTTATCCACTGACAATAACACTAACCATTGCAACAAAGTCTGATAAAACACACCCTTTGACTTCAGTCATAGATCCTTAATGCAAAGAACTGTGTATAGTCCTTTCACAGTAATTTTCAAAGCAAATGCACACTGTATATCGTGTGTTCAGAGTGAACAAGCTCAGGAAATGACTGATGTAACAGCACTGATCTGTAGAATCACAGTGAGTATCTGTGTTTGCTTTACAGTGATCTCTTGTATATATACAGATTATAACTGTAATAGTGTGATTTTCACAGTAGTATGCGCCGGTGCTTGGGTTCCCAGCGTGCATTGCGGCATTAATAAAAGTTAGACCGTATTTTATTGTTTAATTAAAAAAAAATGTGTTAAATACAAGTCATTAAATTATATTTATAATTACATTTTGACTATGTGTAACCAATTATTGCCAGTAAGCATTATTTCTCTATGAAGGAAATGAAGTACCGGTATAAGAACCAAGTTCCCAGTCAAAGGGAACGCTAATTATCATAATGAAGAACTATTTACACCGTATCAAAAATGTGACAGCCTGCATTGCTCTCCTTAGCAAAATACCAAGACAATATTTTGCAACAAGCTACTGTTAAAGTTGTTTAGTTGTCAAGTCAGCATGAAATGAAAGTTGCAACGACTTTACTGCCATATTGTGACATATTTCCGAGTGAAAAAAACTATCAAACAGCGGGATTTGATTTTATCCATCGGCTGCAACATTTGACCCATTTTCCCATCGACTGGATTGTGAAACGTGATCATTGCATCGGATATCAAGTCATATCACAAGAAGAGCAAGTTACATTTTGATTAAAGATTACAAAAAAATGGACAGATTAATCCTTCACAATACGATTAGTAACACGCATTAAGAAGACAATGGGATTCATTTAAATTTTAATGGCCTTCAAGGCTTTCTTAACAAAACCCACACTCTCCCACAAACTGCTCCCACTTCCATCCCAGCAGTCTTTTTAATATGTTTAGAAATATATCTTACAACTCCAACTGCACATTTAACGAGATCCAAATAGAGTTTATTAAAATCAGACATGCTGCATTGACAGAGTCTCGGAAATCTCTTCCCCTTGGGAAGATTGTGTTTCTAAAACTCAGTCAAAACTAAATATTCTGCTATTTACAGTGGTCACGAGAACAAGAAACCGCTTTAAAACCACAAAAACATTCTAAACACTGTTAAACTGTTTATACATGACGTATGTATCTGTAACCATGCATCACACAGGCTTTCCTCGCACGACCTGTCTGTTTAAACATTCTATACGTAACCCTGCCCAGTCATTAGAGCGACTCACAAACATAATCATACGCTCTCATTAGCACACAAAGCATTCTTTCTCCATTATGATGCCTTGCTTTACCAGTCCACTGAGGCTATATTGGCCGAAACACTGGAAGACAATTGTCTGGCACGTTCTTGATGTGAAAACAAGCACCAAGTTTCCTGCAGGTGTGTCTTGAATGCTTGTTATGTTTATAGAATATCATTATAGGTACATGAAAGATTGGTGGTTGCGTTATGTTGTTGGTGACATGTAAGCTTTTATTTATAGTAAAGAGGAGCATGTCACGTAACTCTTAACTTAACGGTTTACACGTGTCCTAACCAGGAGCGATACGAGACCTTTGTCCGCAGTGTGTGAGCAGGATTTTGGACCAATGAAATGCAAAGGATAGGTGTCTGCTGCTCAAAATCCTATTCTTAACAAATGCTTTAGTATAAAATCTAAAAGCCCTTTAAACAAAGGCCAATTTACTTGAGAAGTAAATTCTAAACATGGATGTGTTTTGTCTTAAACATACTTATACTTAAACATTTTATACTTAAATTTGTTAGTGACGAGACGAAATACACTGGTATTAAAGATGCAATCCATGAAAAAAAGTTTTATTTTATGCATTGTTGTTTCTCAAGTAAAGTTATCACGTTTAAAGGAGTTTAAGATTATTACTAGACAAAAAGTAAAAAAAAAGAGTAATTAAAAACGTACATTTTATTACTTAAAAATTATTTAATATTTTATTATCCATTATTACACTTGTATACGTTAAAAATTAAATGAAATTGAAAATTAAATGAAATTGAAATTTAATTTAAAAAAATTAAAAAATAAAATTTTATAAAATCAATTCAAAGTTCTAAAAGCTGTAATGGAAAGCTCTTTAGAACCTTTCACATGAATCGCATTAGGACTTCAGTACACTTAAGGACAAGTTAACTGTGTGACTTTGAACATTTTTACCTGCAAAGGTCTGTGCTGTCACGGAAGGCCAATGTCAGTGGCATGTGGGGATCAAAGTTGAAATTGGTTGACTTTAAGCTGTGTGTAATTGTGTGGTAACCATTTGTTGCACTTCAAAACGGGTCAAAGATACAATGCTCAACACTACGAGTATAGCTTGACGCTTCGCTCCATGGTGTTCAGTGCATTGGGAATGTTAACGTGAATCATGTGAAGGAGAAACTGGCAGTGAATTCAAGAACTGTAGAGCAGCACGCAACTACTAAACTTCTAAGTTACGCAATCCCTTTGTCCTTATATATTCTTGAACAAATGTCCATTAAAGTTCATTAGGACGTGATGAACCGTTTCATGAGGGTGTTTGTCAGTGGAACCAATGAGGCAGTCGTGATCAGATACACAAGAAGTGGCTTTTGCTTCGCTGCAGTGTAGAGTATATGGCATTTATAAAGTCTGATTTCATTTCGTTTCCTGCTCTACAAAGTTGATGTTGTAGGTGAGCTGGTGTCCATTGTCCCAGGCGTACAGAATCTTCTCTTTAGGGTTGTAATCGACTTGTGTGTTGAACCCGTATTCGTTAATGAAAGGTAAACGCGGAGACGCCTCGGCCCCTGTAAGCGTGTCGAACGCGTACGAAACCTCTCCTTCTCTCTGATTGTAATTGTCCACTGCGTACAGGACGCCGCATATTATGAAGCAGTTCCCGAACGAATTTAGCCTCAGTCTCGTCCTCCACGTGGTCTCCTTTTTGACCGACAAGTCATTGGGATCTAGTTTACTGACTACAATGACGTCGGCCTGTCCGTAGCCATCGTCAACAGACGGGTAAATGACCCAAAGTCCATTCTCATCCACGGCGAAGTCGATATCAGAGTGGCCTTTCCACTTCCAAGGTGTGGTGTCTTCATAGACGACGTCGTGAAGCTGAGCCCAGGCGGCTACGTACCGTTGCTTGAGATTGTATTTGATGATGTTCTTCGTGAAGGCACGATTATAGTAAAACCCTCCTCTGTACACAACATGACCCGTTCCGATCCAGTTATAAGGGAGCTTGAACAGGTTACTCCAACGGCCTGTAGGAAAAAAGAGAGGAAAGCGGGTAAAATGTTGCTACATTTTAATGTCACAATAGTGATATTTCACGGCCATAAAGTTCCATTGTCTATTGTCATTGGTGTAGAGATGTATAAAGCACAGCTCAGACAGGTCACTTTCAAGCCAAGCAACTTTTTGTTGACCAAAGTGGCAAATTCATGTGACCAGTTGAAACTCATTGCGCAAATGATTGGCCCTTAAGCGAAATTCCCAATCGGATGGATTCTAACTGATATAACTAGATTTCGCCCGTGAAAATGTGCAGAACAACGATAATAATGACCAAACGTTAACGCTATGCTGCACTTCTTTTCAAATAGAGATCACGATTCTGACACGATTCTGAACAGACAACTAAATCAAATTATTGTAATTTACTAGAGGTTCTGACAAAATGTTAATTGCTGCAGTCAACTTAAAATGTTTAATTAACTTAAATGAATTATTAAAAAAAAATCGGTTTGAATGAATGATTCATTGACTCATAAATACTTTACTTGTTTCATTAATGCCAAGTTCTTTCATGAAACTCTAGATGGCGTAGGCTGATGGGTCCTTAACGCAAACTGATGCTTGCTGCTCAACATTTAAATGGCTGGTTAGCATTCATTATAGGAGTTTGCAGCGCGCTTTCAGAGTTCCTCTAAAACCCTCCACCTTCCCCAGCTCCACCTGTATAGATCTGCTATGGGTAATTGATATATACTATTTGTGCAGCAGCAGTATGTCTAACATACTCACAGTAGTGCAAGTTGCATTCAGTTAAAACAGCTCAATGAAATGAGCTAAAATGAGCAAAATTGCAACGAAACTTAAGGTGGTTAAAGTTTTATTCCCCTTTAGTTATGTCACATATCTTGCGACGCCAGCCAAGACTGCCACTGATGCTGCCTGAAAAAAAATTCAGTGTATGACTCTTCTGGCTCTGTCTTAACAGGAAATGTTTTTAGAAATCTATTAATACCAGTCTAAACAGGCACACAAACCCACACTTACAGAAACGCACACTGAAATCAACTGTAACATCTTCCAAGCTCTTTCTTTTTTTCCAGGGACACGCACACATTCACTCAGCAAAACACACAGGCATGCAACCAGACACAGACAAACTGGCTTGTTCCCAAACATCCAAATCATTCACATTTACATTTATTTAGAAATCCAAACCTTTTAGAATGGAAAATCCCTGTCTTTGTTTCACAAAAAAACAGTATGAAGAGCTTTTAACTCAAAACACACACTATCCAACCAATATCTGTCTCTCTGTATGTCTATAGACAGCCGCATTGAATAAATAAGTACATCATTAATTTGTATGTCTCTAAAGAACATTACAAGAATTATTGGTAACGCTTCCTTTTACAGTCCTGTTACCCATGTACTTACTATGTACTTATTATAGTAATTATAATTACTGGGTAATAACTAGGTACTAACCCTGAACCTACCTCTAAACCTACCCCTAACCCATGTACTTACCTTATATTAGCCAGTACTTTATAGGTAAGTACGCTGTAAGTACACGTAAGTACTGTACTGTAAAAGGAAGGGTTACCGAATTATTTTACACACCCTGTTTAAAGTTGTCTAAGTTCCGGAACTCTACGAGGTTGTTGCCGTAGTAATAGTTGGTGACGTAGATTTTGGAGTCTCTGGCGGTGGGATCCTTCATCCATGCGCCCTCGTTCCTGCCGTAGCTGTGCTGTTTGACCGGCGGATCCACCGACGCCAGCGTCCCTTCACAGCTGTGCTCTTTAACTGCCAAAAAAACCAACAGTTTTCCAATCAGCCATTTCGCTTGGTTGAAAAAAAATATTTTAAGTTTAGTTTAGTTTTTATATTTACTTTGCATTATTTTATTCCAGTTGACACGGTTTTAATCCAATAGGTTTTAGTTTAGGATCATTTTTGTGGTGCTGCTTTTGTACAAACTGAGTTTTATTGTAAATACACTCTACCTGCGATGTATGAGTTATTGCTGGTGTTGTCCAGCACTAGTGATATCGTTGGGGCCGGTCGTTCCTCTCTGTATATTGTTCTGCTAGGTGTTGTTGTCCTCTGGGTTGTTGTTGTTGTGGGACGAGCGGTTGTTGTCGTTGTTGTTATTGTTGTGGGTACAGTTTCTGGGGTGGTCTCTGTTGCTAAGGTGATGGGAGCTATTGCACTTTCCTCTTCCTCTACTTCTACCTCAAGCAACGTGTCTGTTTCATCAGGCTTCTCTTCACCTGATAGAAATAGAACAGAAACAGAGCAAGAGATTAAAATCATCTCACTTCAATAAAAGCACTGCACACTCTAAACCAGGCAACAACCTTTACATCTTTGCATATAATGAAGCTTTGACTGAAAAAAAATTCAAAGCAACTTGACAAATTTTGTCAGAAATATAAACTAGTTTACTGAATTGTTGTAAACTAAACTGTTAATTCAAAAATAAACATCATGCAAATCATCAAATAGATTAATTTAAATGAATCCATCTTTGGTAAAATTAATACAAAGCACAAACCACATTATAATACTGAAATGCTAAAAACAATATATGAATTGACAGATTCAGAAATACTCGACAAGAGCAGATTCTAGCCAAGTACAGACTCGTGTTATTTCCTACACCTGCTCTGTGTGGGTACATGAAGTCTCTGGAAACATTGTACTTCTTTACCCGTCATGCCAATAAAACTTTGTTGACATTTTTTAGTTTGAGTTTTCAACTCCACACCAATTACTCAACACTTCCAGGACAAAATGACTTGCATCTAAAAACAAAGCAAGTTGACGTTTTGAGTGAGTATTTTGCCAATCTGCTCTCCAAGAATATGAATACACCTGGTTTGTAACCGCTGTCACGCTGAGCATATAACACGCTCAATCTCACCGTACATTTACTGTGGTGGTGCACCTGCTAGAGTGGCACGGGATTGTGGGATAGCTATATTTAACGAGAGAATGGATTTGATTACTGTACATTAGATCACAGGGTGGGACGACGAAAATAAACATCGTATTTATTAGTGAAAGTAATTTATGTTTATTAGAATTTTTTTACTTGACTTGCGCACGGTCCGCCGGCTTTTGTATTGGCTTTGCATTCCTGTCAGGACTGATCATACTGAATCTGCATCACAGCTCTGTTATGCATTATCTTAAACCAGTCAAACAAATCCATGCAGTCCAATAGCCAAGACACGCTAACAAAGTTAAATAGTCCTTAGTCAGAGGAGATGCCATATTCAATTTGACGAACAAAAACAAGGCATCTGATGGACAGAGATAGTTTGTAATGTAAACTATGTAATTCTATTCTGACTAATGCTGTGTAACTCAAAGCTCAGAGTCCAAAGACAAAGATGAGTCAAAAGTTCTAATCAAAAGGTATTTAATAAAAGAATAAACTGAGAATATCCAACATAGAGTAACAGAGTGCTCAACACACAAACAATAGCCGACAATGAACTGAGGAAACAGGAATTTAAGAATACTTAATAGTGAACTAAGAGATTAACAGGTGTAATGATCCAATGAAATGCCATGGCAACTGATTAGAGCAACAAAGACCACAGGAAATAATGAAAGGCAAACTAAAAGTCCATGAAAATTAAACTAAACAAACAAAAGTCAGGATTTGGAAACTCTGTGGTAGCTTTCTATATTTCTATGGCATCGGAGTCGAAGAGTTATTAGCGGAAGTGGATGTATTTATTGTACAGTTAACGAAAGTTATCACGAGCATTGTAATGTTTGAAGAGCATGTCATAATAAATGTCAGTAGATCGGGAAGATTTTAAAACGAGCAGTTCATTCATAAATCCATAAGATCTTACCCTTATGCTGTGGAAATACAAACCGGAAGACAGAACACAACAAGCGCAGTGCTGAAAAGGGGCGGGGCCACCTAATATCTATAGGTTTTATGTATTTACATGGGTTGTTTTTTTTGGAGAATTGCATGGAAACCAAATGCGGATCTATTTGACCCACAACACGAAAGGTGTACCCTGAACTGATAGAGAAAAGTGTGCATTAAAACTGTAAATCACCCTCTGTTGATAATCGCACACCTGCAAACTGAATGCTTGCATAGTAGTGTTTCCACATATACAGCGTCTTCCAACATCTCCAGGGCTGTTACCAGTGCCACCATTCTCAATTTTACATTTTATACCCCTAATCTTGAATATCTGTTTGATATTGGCACAGTGGCACAGTTTTCTAACAATTTCTTTTTGTATTATCTCGAAACATCAGTTTTAAAACTCAACTTAATTTTGGGGTTTTATCTGTAAACCAAAACTGCAATACGAGATGTTTCCAAAGTGCTAGTTTACCGACTAAACTTTTCAAAAGTGTGTCCATCTTAGGGACGTTCATTCACAGTAATTTATGCCTTAATCAAATTCCTTGTGATTGTATCTAACGTGCACTCAAATAGTCGGGACCCAATTTGGGAAGTAGCGATTAGGTTACGCCTATGGATAACACAAGATTAGATCAGACCACATTACAAGTCACAACTGATTGTGGTGCTTTCAGAATCATTCTTGTATAGCTCAGAAAGAAAAAAAAATCAGTAATCACACAGACTGTCAAGCAAACGGCGGTAACTATGGAGACTTTCGGGCGAGAGGCACACATCTAAAGCTTAAACAGGAAGTGAGGCTGAAAGCCCACATGAATGGAAACACTGTTGAATTGGAGACATTTGGCTGTTTTTTGTAGAAACCCTAATGCCGATATGAATGTCATGTCAGAAACTGAAACTGATTCATTAGTGTGTGTTGGCTGTCATTTCAGACTCTAAAGACACTCTCTGGCTGGCATCCTACACTAGTATCCAGTTAACTTGAGTGCTGGATCATCTAGTCCCAAGATACTGAGATCGAATCTCACTGTAAGATGTTCATTATGTGAGAGTAGAGTGTGTGCATGGACTTGGCTATAGTTTGGGGCCCAAAAATATCCCCAAAAGAGACCGCAATCTGACAAAACCTCCCTTTGAGGACATCTGGGACATCTTCAACTGGAAAATCAAATCAAAATAACTTTATTTGCCACAGTAGACGCAGCAGAAATTGTTGTCAGGTTCATAAATAAAGAAAATACTTTCTTTTAACTGTAAAAATGCTAAGTTTTATTTCAGGGTTAGATTTAGCATTAGTAGTATTTATAATTAAATTCATATAAAAAGAACAGAAGTCAAGGGTATGTACCCATCAAATAGCGAAGTGCATGTCTGTGTGTGTGTGTGTGTGTGTGTAATATTTCATTTATCATCAGTGCATCTGGCAGATTTTCCTGCGAAAAGAGAACTGGATTTTCTTGTCTCTGTTTTAGTGTGGATATTTGTGATACAGACGATGCATTCTGCATTTTATTCTGCTCTTAACATGGTTATGTAAGTGGATTATTAATATAGTTGTTTATCATGCTATCAGAAAACAGTTCTACCCTTTCAGCAGATGAAGTGGTCTAAAATGAATGACTGTATGTACTGTGTGTATGAACATGTGCACATGTGTCTTAAGTTATGAAAGGGTCTGTGCTAATATCTAAGTGTGTGTGTGTGTGTGTGTCTGGACTGGCATTGATACAAGCAGCTGTGCTTCAATGGGGAACACAAAGGAAACAACATTTTCTCTATAAAGGCCAATCCACACCTGACTGACAGACGGCGAACGACGCAGACAATCACCAGATTACAGTTCGTCACTTCTCGAACATTCTACGAACCGACAAATGCTGTTTCAATGTTCATTTGGTGAAAACAAGAGCCGGTCAATGCCAACAGACGCCGAAGTTGATGCCAACTTTTGTCTGTCAGTGCAGTGTGAATTGGCTTAAGAATATGTTTCTCTGGGTGTTTCTGATCTATATAAGTTTGTCATTGCAAACAAAATTGGTGAAGTTACTCCCCAGAATTTAGCTAACTCATACCTCACTACAACACAATCTCTAAAGAGAGTAATGTTTGTAAAGAGAGTAATGTCTTTTATTCAATGCCAATGCTTCAGGGGCTAAGATAATGTGTAAATAATGTGTGTGTCTTACCTCTGTTTTGGTTGCTCGTCTCATCGGTTTTGGTGGCTTTGTAATATGTGATTCCCCGGATGAGTCCTGGCTGGTTCTGTGATGGTTTGGTTTTATTGGGCAGGTCTGTTTGCTCTGGTTTACTGGGTTTGTTTGGTTTTGTGGTCTCTTTCTTTGGCTTGGCGGGCTTTTCCTTCACTGGCTTTGGTGGAGGTTTCCCTTTTTCTGGTTTCTTTGCTGGAAACTTTGAAGCATCTTTGATATTTGTCCCCAGTGTGTCCTACAAACATAACACATGTCTAACTCAACAGATGTTAGAGATCTCATCCTAAAAACTATATTAACACTTACATATACTCTATGCTGTTATATAGATATGGCTCATATTGCAAATGCACACAGTATTGTATTCTACTAGAACAGAACTGAGATATTGTATCCAATAATGCAATGCACTAAACTTTGGCACAGCCAAATTGCAAAATAACCATATTTATGTCAGAGAGGATCTGGATGGCACTTGCTGAATTAAATGGGCAACATGATCATGTGATATATTGCAGCACACTATTAAAGGGGACCTATTATGCCCCCGTTCTCTGTGTATGCCTTTTTTAAATGAGGAATATTGTGATGTGTATGTTCCTGGAAGAAACTCAAGACTACAATCGAGGAGTTCAGAAACAGTGTGCACTGATAAAAAGAATGACTCCTTTTAAATTGACTTTGTAACTTTGCAGACCTTTTTCATACTCAATCAGCAACACTAAAGAAAGCTGAAAATGTACAAAGCATAATTGGACCCCTTTAAGTGAATTAAATTAAATAATTTCCACATACTATTTAAAAAAGAGTATGGAGTAAACTGAACCGTATGCAGTATTCCATTCTGAACATAACCTCAAAGTCAGAGGTGAAAGGTCATGACCCTTACTTACCTGAGCTTTGCTTTTAGGGCCTGAGGAGGAGGAGTCTTTCTGCAGCAGCTGAAGGCCCAGATTGGACAGCTCCTTCTTTATGCTCATCATGATGTCAGAATGGTTCTCGTACTGCCGTAGCTGATTGGTCAGAGTCGCCACACTGTCTCTCACAAAGTCATTCTCCCGAGTGAGGTTCATCTTTATCATCTGAATGAGGTACACGAATTTACATCAAACTACTATTCATACAACAACACTTCTGCATTTAACTGTACATAAATACATCTGCATAAACATTTAACTGTACATAAATACATCTGCATAAACATTTTACTGTACATAAATACATCTGCATAAACATTTTACTCAAACCGTTATGCAGCTAATATAGTCTATATTCTCTTATGCTCACCAAGGCTGCATTTATTGAATCAAAAATACAATAAAAATGGTAATATTGTGAAATATTATTAATTGTAATATAACTGTTTTCTGTTTGAATCTATTTTAAAACACCTGAGATGCAAAGCTGAATTTCAGTGTCACAAAATCCTTCTTAAATCATTCTAATATGCTGATTTGCTGCTCAAGAAACATTTATTCTTCTTATTATTATTATCAATGCTGAAAACAGTTGTGTTGCTTAATATTTTTGTGGAAACTGATACAAAAATTTCAGTGATACATTTTCAAAATTCTTTGATGAATAAAAGAACAGCATTTGTTTGAAATAATAGAAATCTTTCATAACATTTTGAATGTCTTTACTCTGACATTTAATGCATCCTTGCTGAATAAAAGTATTAACTACTTTCAAAAACAAAAAAAAACTTACTGATCCCAAACTTTAGTACCAAACGGGACTGTGTGTAATTAAATTAGTATAATTCAATTAGAAAAATGCAAACTAGAAGCATTTTCACTAGTGGTCTTAGACTATATATGTAAGGTATTTGATAATGACCCTCAGTGTACATGCAGTACATTTATTGCGGTGCAGATTTCTAGCCCAGCTTTACCCGATAATGAGCAAAATTTAATTGGAAATAAAAACAGAGTACATAAGTGTGACTATTACATGACTGTGGTTTTCAACCTTTGGTCATTTCCTCTCTCTGTCCCACTCTTTCTCACACACACAAATTATTTTCCCATCCCTCAAGCCAAAGCGAAGTGGTATAACTGTTAATAACTTTAGCCAGAGCATTGTGGGTAGCCACAGAATGTCCAGTTAAACCCCGCCACGGCTCATTAATGTTCACGTGTGTATGTTCACACGCACACGGCCAGTGTAATCACACTCACCTCCTCCAGGTTGTTCATTTGGGACACCACCTTGTTGATGTACGAGTGAACTTTAAGAAGGTCCATACTGAAGAGAGTTCCTTCCAGAAGGTCCACCATGGACTGCAACTGGACACAAAGAATCAGGCGACTTTTTAAAAATGAAACATGAGTGGAAAGTTACTTTTGGAGGTTCACAAAGCAGCTGCTTGGGGTTTATTTTCAATCTGCAGTAATGTTTGACAGTTCGTCACGTCAGTGATTCACGATAATGATTAACATATTGCTTTTGGTCAACCATCTTCACAACATAGTGTCGGCCCAGATCCGCCCCACATCTGGTACAAATGGATTCCACACGGCCCAGATGTGGGCCGGATCTGTGCCGACACTATGTTGCTGTCTGGAGGCTTGTTTCCGCCAGGGAATACAAAATAAAAAAGGTAATTGAGACTTTTTTTTTCTCAGAATTGTGATGTATAAACTTGCAATTGCTAGTTATAAAGTCAGAATTGTGAGATGTAAACTCGCAACTGCAAGAAAAAAAAATCAGAATTGCGAGTTTATATCTGACTTTTTAACTTGCAGAATTGACTTCTTTCCTCAGAACTAAGAAATTTATCTCTCAATTCTGAATTGTGAGATATAAAGTCTGAATTGCGATATATAAACTATTTTTTTATTGCAATTGTGAATTTTTTCTCGCAAATCGAATCTTTATATATTGCAAGTTTATATCTCTGAGAAAAAAATGTCACAATTACCTTTTTTATTTTTTATTCCCTGGCAGAAACAAGCTTCCAGACAGCAACATAGTGTCGGCACAGATCCGGCCCACATCTGGGCCGTGTGGAATCCATGTGTGCAATTATGACTTTTTTTCTCGTAAGTCTATTACTCGCAATTCTGACTTTATAACTCATAAATGCGAGAATAAAAGAATAAAGCCCCGTTCACACTACACGCGACCAAGCGACGCGATACCATTCATTTCAATGGGGAGCTGGCGATTTCCGGCGACACGCGCAACAGCGACCGTTGGCGACCGGATGGGGCGTGTCTGGCGACGCGACAAAGTTGAGATCTGTTTAACTTTATGCAAATGAGGAGCGACAACCAATAGGAGCGGAGCGCGTATGATCCTTCTCCACATCATTGGATGTCATTCATAAATGTAACCAGTAGTGGGAACTCCCACTAGCGACCTCATCGCCAGCCACTGGCGACATGCAGCGACAAAGTCGCTTGTAGTGTGAACGGGGCTTAAGAGATAAAAAGCCGCAATTAGCTTTTAATTTTTTGTTATTTCATGAGAGAAACAAGCTTCCATAAACACTAGCTTAGATTTAAGCTGGTCTTTAAAAAAAAAAAAAAAAAAAACTGAATTTTTTTTTTCATGAGTGAATTCCTCATATGCTTATTGTTGACTCGTGCTGCAGAAAGTTCAGTCGTGTAACAGCTTGACTGTCGTGATGATTAACGGCTTCATGTGGCATCAACAGATATGAAGAAACTGCAGCGAGGTTAAAATAGAGCCACATGTTTGGAGGAGCTAAACAGCACAAGATCAGCAAATGTTTTAGGTGGAAAATTAAACCATTGTGTTTAACTACTGACTAAAGGCTGCTGAATGATTTTTCAGCCTTTAGCAGAGCTAGGACTGGCGTCAAGGGGGGGCTTGCAACGATCCCAAGGCAAACCCCCCCAACACCCACCCCCCCACCCCCAATGCAATTTTAAACTTAGGGGGTCCCACCACACACACCCAAATGCGATTTCATTTAAGTCTGAAAAATATAAAAGCCCCCCCAAGTCGTGTTTCCTTGGCGCCGGGCCTGACTGTAGTAATATAAAACCCTGGACTGATCATCAGGATTGTCATGTGGCTCTGTGTGTGTGTGTGCAATGTGGAGATATGGACTGGAATGCTCAGACAGATGAACAAAGGAGAAGAAAAGATGGAAAGAGTGAACCAGACAGGAATGGTGCGGAGGAAAGAGGACAGGTGCTATAAAAACACACTTGCGAACACGTGCGCCGCATACATGCCCAGAATTCTGCCGTTCAACATTCAAAGTGAGTCAGTGTTCCTTTAACCTCAAAAACAGCACTTCCTTTCCTACTTCTTTTAAAGTTATGTCACAGTTGAGTATCAGTCATGTTTTTAGCAGCATATCAGTAACATCCAAACGCATTAGTACATTACAGTAGTTTGTTAAAAGTCGGGCTTATATTTTTGAGTGCAAACAGGTTATAGACTGAGCATCATTAATGGTGAATTTGATTAATAGACCAATAACATAATGTTTAAGTGAGTCAAGTGGTAATTTATAGCCTGGATCTGTAAAATTACATTTAAAAGTACAATTTTGGCTATCCTTACAAACATGTACCATGTTTTTTACTAAATTAAAATTGACTGTAGTTACTGTAACACATTTTTTATGGGTAAATGTAGTACTAAATCATCATCATATTAATTTTTATTACAACTGTGGCATTTATATTATGTATAGTTATAGTTTGTAGAAGTGTTAGTAAAAGGCTACTATTTTTTACCATTTTAAAAGTTTTTTTTTATAGTAAACAGTTACATTCCGCAAAAGTCTTTTTGCTTTTCTTAAACAATAAAATATGTAGTGCGGGACTTGATTTTGTGCACTGGAAATTGATTGGATCGTTGGATGGTTGTGGTTTGCTACTGTATTGGTGGATCTCATGTGATTGACAGGTTGCCCCGCCCTCACGCCAGTAAACACATCATCAGAGAAGAGAAGAGATGCTGCAAGAGGGAGGGGAAGCTATTTTGATTACAGATTACGATGAATTTAAAAATAAATGAATAATAATGTGTATGGATGCATCATATGCTGTAATATTTCATAAAAAATAAATAGTAGACAATTTTGATTTCACGGTGACTTTAATCAGTTCTTTTGTCTAAATCAGTAAAATATCTAAATACAAAATAAAAATAAAATAAATGTACAAAATAAAATTGCTTATTAATATTGTTTTTAGAATATATATATATATATATATATATATATATATATATATATATATATATATAATATATGTTTCATGCTTATACCATTTACGGTACAAATCACTGAAATTTATTTTTAAAACAAGAAAAAAAACTTGGGGCAAGTTTGCAAATGGGGCACGAAAGATCTTAAACTACGGTTATCATGCAAGAACTCTGCCAAAGGGATATGGGATATGTTTTATGGGATGTGTTTTAAAAGTATCAGGTCTACCTTGAGCAGCTCTGGCGCCTGTTTCTTGAGTTTTTCCATCTTCCATTCGTTCTCGCAGGGGTTGAGAGAGGATGGCGGAGCCGTGCAGGAGCATTTGCAGTCGGCTCCGGAACTCACCGTCTCCACCGTGTAAAAATCCTCCACGCGCACACTTCCAGTCCTCAAGCGAGCGCACGCGTCCCGGGTCAAGGGCCGCATGATGCACTTACAGCGGCAGTCGGATCCCTCTGATGTCATGCGGACTTGTTCCTCCCCGAAGATCTGAAAAGGAAATTGATAGAAAGTCATGGAGATTACATTGTGTGCTGTGACCCAGTGACCTACTTCAGTGTCATTTCTGCCACTTTGCAAAACTATGTTCACTTTAGTTCTCTTCAGAGACATGCAAGCCAGCCTGAGACTTGAGTTTATTGATCAGTGCTTTAAACCCGAGCTGTCTTCCTGACATCAGATATGAAAGTTTGAGGTCAAAAGGTCACCGGTGCCACACGACCGTATTCAGCCACATGTGCCACAATGACCTATGATGACCCTTTCTCCTTCCTAGTTCCCCGTGTCCATCATTACTCAATTACTAAATGTCATTAGTGTCAAGTCATATGGCGAATTTACTTTTTCTGCTAATCATATAGACAATTTGTTCTTTACATCTTACCTTCAACAGACCAGTCCAAAATCAACTAATGTTAACATGAGTAAATCAATCACATAAGCTGTAGAATACACCGTCTATAGAGCTACAGAGTTACCGTCATCTGTCTTCTGGGCTGTTATTGTCAATGGACTGAGTGGAAAGCAAACAGATGGTGTCAAATGAGTAACCTTTGACCTCCGAGAACAGAAAACCGCATCATGCAGAGTGTGTCCTTATTCAGATCAGTTTAGACACTATGCAAAGAAAGTATAAATGCATAATACTTGCAGGTGTGTGTGTGTGTGTGTGTGTGTGAGAGAGAGAGAGAAGGTTTAACATCTTGGATTACTTATATCCTCTTCAGGAATTCTGAGACCTTCTTAAAAAACAAATGGAAACACAAATCATCAAACCCTGCCAACTTTGGTAATTTAAAGCGTGAGAAAGATCGTATTTCTTGATCTGCATGTCTGATAATGTTTGTGTGAAGGGTATGTGGGTGATTGATGTGTGATTTATGAGCAAACTCGCTGTTCAAACCTGTTTTTATTCTATTGCCCCACACTTCTATATGTCTTTGTCAGTTCAGTTCATTGACATCCATGATGATCTATTAACAATATAATCAGTTTGCCAATGTCATGTCACTGTGGATGTACGGTCACTCTTTCCCAGCTATTATTTGGCATGTTTAGGACAGCAACCGAAGTCTCCAAACAAACAGAGGGCAAGTGTCAGCTGTGTTGTGCTAAAATAAGCCAATCCGAACTGATTTCCACAGCAGGGATGCATTTCTTCCACTGAGATACTGGCAGCATGACAAATTCCAAGGAATTAATAGCTATATTGAGTTAAACAGATAGCAATAACTATAGCAATAATGTTATTCACACCATATAATCATGCAGACAGCAAAACAACTGTATGATACTGTACCATTCAAAAGTTTGGGAGTTTTGAAAGGCATCTCTTATGCTTACCAAAGGCCTTATGTGTTTATTTTTTACAATGCATGATTGATTTAATGTATCCATGCTGAACAAAAATATGAATTTTGTTCTCACAGACCTCAAACCGTTGTCTATTCTGTCCATGCTGAATCATATAGTTCTGTCTCTCTTTGTTGCCCCGTCTCAACCACCAAGCACAGGTGCAGAACGATGATCAGCACCCGTGTGGAACAAACACAGTCCTTACAAACGCACAAACTCTGATTCACACAGCAGCTGACTTAACAACTGTGAGAACTCTGAAATGTAAACTTCACGAGGAGAGGACAGATAAAAGTCGAAGGACATGAGTAATCCTCCTTATAGGTCAAATCCTCTGTAGTCCCATGTGAGGAACCGGACTGGCTTTTTGCCCTTCAACTTTAAACTGAGATAATTAGCAATTTAGCTACATATCAATCTTTGATGCACTGCCAGGAACAAAGAATAAAACAGAAGCATGTGAATTTTTCTCTCAGGACCACCACCATCCATCACTATTTCACACAGTCTTTCTCTTCTCGTTCCTACCGTTTCTCTATCACCCCTTGAGACTTTTTAAATCGGACGGACCAACTTTTAAGTGCAATTTGTTAAAGTCGGCATTAAACAATATTTGCATAAAATGTCCTTATTCCTATTTGCTTATTGTGACGTAACAAGAATAAATGTAGGGCGGGACTTGCTTTTGTCCTTGGGGAAATGATTGGATGGTTGTGGTGTGCTATTGGTGGATCTCCTGTGAGTGACAGGTTGCCCCGCCCTCGCGCCAGTAAACACATCGGACCCTATCATACAACCGGTGCAATGCAGCGCCAGGCATGACGCAAGTGTTTTTTGCTAGTTTCAGTCCGACGCAGTTATCATTTTTTTATGTCCTGCGCCACGTTGTTTAAATAGAAAATGCATTTGTGCCCATCTGTGCGCCCATGGGCGTGCTGGTCTCAAAACGAAGTGTGTTCATGCGCATTGTTGGCGCGTTGCTATTTTGAGGCAACTGAAATAGACTGCGCCATTGACCAACTGAAACCTGGTCTAAAGTCAACATATAGCGCAATATTTTTTTGTTATTTAAAGGGCACATTAGTTAAATGAGCCTATAGGCTGATCCACAACGCGCGTACACTCTGCTTATTACAAAGACAGGGACGTGCAGCAGCACACAAACATTTTTAAATATGAAAAATAGAAGTATTACAATGTAAAATATTATTATTGTGTACATAAAGATGTGGTGGAATCCGGCTTGTCCCGTAGATGGTCTGCTTGCACGCTTTAACCTCGCGCACGAGCAGATCCGTTTCCTCTCTTTCCGCCATGTAAATAGCAAAGGAATGGGAGATGAGACTCTGATTGGTTATTGCACGTAAAGCCCCAAACCCCCCCTTTACTCATTAAGAGAATTGGGACAACCCTTTTAGACCACACGCCGGGTGCGCCGACCATTTTTCCTGTCGTTAAACAAAAGTGGATTCGGACACGCCCTAAGTGCACTTGCGCCGTGTGCTTTAGACCATGCGCTTAGATCGTTAAAATAGGGCCCGTCATCAGAGAAGATAAGCCGTTGCAAGAGGAAAGGGAAGTTATTTTGATTAGATTCTTAGATTCATTTTATTTAAATAGGGACAATGCACAAGTTAACATTAACCTTGTTTAAAAAACAAAGAGAGATGCATTGTGCCAGGTTGTAGCACAAGTGCTATTTTCCGCCCGTAGTCCCTTGGCAGAGAATAATACAAAACATTAAAATATACAATTTTCTAACCATAAAATTAATTTACAATTAAAACTAACATATGCTCAATTTTCCCCCATTCCTAAAACCAACCCCACCTCACCCCACCCCACCCCGACAAAACTAAACAATCAAGATCCCTACCTCTCCCAGTACAAAACACACACACACACACACACACACACACACACACATTTCATAGATGTGTACAGTTTTGTTGTGACAATAACCATGCTTTTGTCAAACTCGAGAAGGTTTGAGGATTTGTACAGGTAATAAGGTGTGTGGGGAGAGTGTTCGACTGAGTTATAGCCACAAAAGAAAAGGCTGATTTGGCAAATGAGGTTTTGCGATTTGGAATATTGCATTCTCCTCTAGTGGCGGACCGAGTAGCTCTTTTTTTTTCAGAGTTGAGCTCAATAAATTTTTTTAGAGGAGGGGCGACAGCATTATGAATGATTTTAAAAAGTAAACAGACATTCGAATGCATTATCAAATTTCCAAAATTTAAAATATTATACTTAGTCATTATTTTGCAGTGGTGATATTGACGAGTCTTTTTATCATGGATCTTAAGGGCTGTTTTATATAAAGATTCAAGTTTACGATTAAAGATTACGAGGGCACTATTTGTTTTGTTTTTTAAATATGATGTGCAAGGATAAATCATTTCTCATCAAATTAGCATCATGGCACCAAGCTTTGCATGTGAATATATATATATATATATATATATATATATATATATTCCTCACATTTTTTATGCTCAGCATAGGTAACAATTTAGTGCAAGGAATAAAGCAAGAAAACAAAGTGAGTATAGGGGCCCTGTTCTCCTCCCCAGCGAGCCGTGACCTGTGATAAGTGCGGCTCTTGATGCGTCGTGACGTCTCAGTGTCGTTTTCTCATGTGTTGTTTTATTCGTGGTAAATCAACCGTTTTAGCTGAAGTGACTTTCGCTGCACACATCAGCCTTTCATTTGTCCGCCACAGCTGGAGGGCTCAAAGAAAGCTTCGAATGAAGTGGTAAACACTAGGGGTGGAACGGTACATGTATTCGTATTGAACCGAAACGGTACGGGCGTCACGGTTCGGTGCACGAATTTGCACGCAGAATACACGGTACAAATAAAAAAAAAAACCTCTTAAATAGCGATAAATTTCGCTCTATTCGCTTTTGGTGTGACTGTTAACGCAGCAATGAACAGGCTGCGATCAAGATTGCAATGCAGGAGTGTGTGTGTCTGTGTGCGCGCGAGAGAGAGAGAGAGAGAGAGAGAGAGAGAGAGAGAGAGAGAGAGAGAGAGAGAGAGAGAGAGAGAGAGGCGCGATGAACAGTGTGTGTGTGTGTGTGCGAGAGAGAGAGAGGCGCGATCGAACAGTGTGTGTGTGTGTGTGTGCGCGCGCGTGCGAGAGAGAGAGAGGCGCGGGCGCGAATCGCGCGATGAACAGTGTGTGTGTGTGTGTGTGTGTGCGCGCGCGCGAGAGAGAGAGGCGCGGGCGCGAATCGCGAATCGCGCGATGAACAGTGTGTGTGTGTGTGTGTGTGTGCGCGCGCGTGCGAGAGAGAGAGAGGCGCGGGCGCGAATCGCGCGATGAACAGTGTGTGTGTGTGTGTGTGTGTGTGTGAGAGAGAGAGGCACGGGCGATCGAACAGTGGAAACGTAAAAACATACTCCGTCACTTTTTTCATACAGGACATCATTAAAACTGCAAATTGTTTACTTATATTTGTGTACACTGGCAATAAAACACAACATTGTGCTTTTGTCACACTCTAAACTCTTGTCAAACTGTAACCTACAACTGTTAACAAAAGTTTTTATGGTAGTATTATTTTATACGGAAATCAATTATTTATAATTCAGATGAGAATAAAGTTAGTTAATTAAAATGAAGGAAAACAAATATCTTGATCTGAAATAGCAAATTAATTTTAAATTCATTCAGGTACAATTACTAAACATATCTCAAGGTCTTTTCGTCTTTTTAATAATTTAATTAATAAACTAATTATATAAAACTACTGTCAGTGCACTACAAATAAACTGGTTCTATGCCTTTATTAATAAAACTTATTTAAAAAAATACAAGGTTTAAGACATTTATAAAAATGCCTTCTGCATTTTTGCTTTGCTTTTCACTCCATTGTACCGAAATCGTACCGAACCGTGATGTCTGAACCGAGGTATGAACCGAACCGTGACTTCTGTGTACCGTTCCACCCCTAGTAAACACTTCTCATTTGGTGCAATGGGAACATTTGGGGTGAAAAACGTTGAAGACACCATAAAATACATTTGGAGTATGGAGCGGAGATAATAATGGAAGGATACTGGAATTCTATATGATGGATTAGAAAATCAGCTGTCTTGCAGCACGCTGGAATTATTATTATTTTTTTAAAGATGTCTCTGCACTCTTTCCCTATATGTTACTCAAATCCATGATTTAGGATGCTCAGGTTTGCTCCTGGAGACCTTCCTGAGTTCAGATCAACTATAATCAAACACACCTGCGCCTCAAGGTCTTTTCTGAAAATAACAAGCATCTTTAGGAACAACTGTATATTGAACATTTCTCTCACTCTTAAAAATAAAGGTTCTTTATTGGCATTGATGATTCCATAAAGAATCTTTAACATCCATGGAACCTTTCCATTAGACGAAGGGTTCTTTATAGTGGAAAATGTTTCTTTAGATTATTAAAATGCGGGTTCTTTTAACCCAAAATAGATCTTCCATGGCATGTATGTGAAGAAAAAAAAAAAGGTTCCAAAAGGGTGTTTAACAGCAATGAAATAAAGAGCAAATGGTATTTTCCTTCTAAGATGTTTCTCCTGAGGACAAAAATGTCTCCTCTAGAGTTAGAGAAATAATCTCAAAGTACACTCAGTTTTGTCAAGATATACACCAATATCAGAGATTTCAATAAGGACTCATCAAATTTTTCCAAGAGCAAATAATCAGTCTATGCACACTTTTAGTTGCTCCATAAAATCATAGGAATTTCAGTAGAAACATCAGAGACAAAGTTGATACTAAATGCAAATGATAAAAGATTAGAGCCAATATTACCTTTTTTTAGGTCAATGTTGAAAGCAAATTAAATCAGGCCTTATTTTATACCAGACAAGTCACGAAAGTATTATTAGAACGGTGTGATCCCCTTGTTTTTGTGGTTTTAAAACAACAGATTAAACCATTTTGATTCTACTGGAGGAACCGCTGACTGACACTGTTTTCTTGGATTTGTAAAAAGGTGTCTGGAGGTGTGGTGAACAATAAGGCTAATGAGTTATGAATGGAAAAACCTCTGATCGATCAAATGTTCTGTGCAGGTGTATTAGATTAGAACAACACAGCAGAATCGTTCAGGAGCAGGATTGAGCACCTGTGATTTTAGACTGTGTTATGATATTTTTCCAATCATGAACCCAAGACCTTTGAACTCGTGCCAGTGGCCTTACGTTACGCTCAGTGTGTGTGCCCTGTTAAAGAGGTTAATCCCAGCACTTTCAAAGTGCCCACCCGTGCGAATAATCATTTGAACTATATAAAAAACCACCAAATCCCACTGAACTGAATTAAACATAACCTCCACTGCGATGTTCTTGAAAACAAGCCATTCCACTTACAACTGATAAAGTTAACACTGTCATGCATGAGTCCCATTTTATCAAAATTGATCATTTATAAAATTACATTATATAATAAATTGCTGTTTTTGTTTGCAACTGAGCAAAATAAGTAATATTCTATGTTTTAGAATAATTAATTATAGTGATAATTTGTAATACAATTAGTAAATAAAACATTTAGGCTATTTTTGCATGTTCTGGAATAACAGTTCTGCAGTTATATCTTAACAAGCTTTTCAATGAATGCACATAAATGAACTCATTCTCAAAGTTGAATTCATTCTTACCTTGTTCAGAGATGACACATGACTGGACATCATAAGTAAACAAGCCACGAGCTCCACAATCCCCCACATCTCGCCGGACTATGAAGCTCCACTGTGTGAATGTGTGAGATGTGCGCTGATGCGACTACATGGACTAGACCCATCATCATCATCATCACCACCAGCACCATCTCTCTCTCTCTCTCTCTCTCTCTCTCTCTCTCTCTCTCTCTCTCTCTCTCTCTCTCTCTCTCTCTCTCTCTCTCTCTCTCTCTCTCTCTCTCTCTCTCTCTCTCTCTCTCTCTCTCTCTCAACGCCTCCACCTGCTGGACGCCAAAATCCTAAAAAAAAAAAGAAAGAAAAAAAAGGAAACTTCCACCGCTTCTCAAATCATGTGTCGTGTTTTTGATAACAATCTGTGGTGGAAACGACGGTGAAAAAATCTCCGACTTTGTTTTGCTAAGGCTAATTTCACAGCTAGCTATAGGCTATCACGCACAGTTTTAAAAAGTGTTTTTGCTTTTGTTTGTTAATAGGGAATGCGGAGGTACGTCACGCCGTGTTGCATTATGGGACGCGGGCGCCATCTTTACAGGCACGATCTCTGTTTACCTTCAGTATAATAGTGGGTGTTTGGCTAAAACGAGGTAAAATTGAAGAAGAACGGAAGAAATGGAGATGTTTAAAGAAAAGGAGAAGGGACCCTACCGGGATAAACTAAATGCCACTGCCAAAAACGTTATTTGGACAAACTATCCGCGATAAACAACGTTGATACATCTGAATTAGTTTTGGTGTTCAAAGCCTATGCTAAGTTGATTACTATTGTACATAAAGTTCAAACTATTTTACCTAAAAATCAGCTCTCATAGTTAATGTTAGCTTGCTATTTTCAGCATATGTTAAGTTTTCATAGGTTGTGCAAGAAAAAAATTGTACATTACTTTATAATGCCACAAGATGTGGTAACTTGTTAAATATAACTGCCTTATTGTCATCATTCAATGTTGACACATGTAAAAATGAGGGTATTTGGTCGTTTATTTTAAAATAGTTTGATGTATCTTTGCCCATTTATGTGTACTTAAAGGGTCTTTGTGGATGCAATCAGTACAGAAACAGAGAAGTCACTTAATGTATTTATTAAGCAGTTATATAAAAACATGATTCACAAACATTTTTTTAAAAAGGCATGTAAAAAGATGTACAGAATATCAAAGCAAATTGTTAATTGAAAACAAAATAAATATAATTTGATTCATGCAAGGTGTCCTGTCTTTATCATCTGCTAACATGAACCACAAATTCAACATCATTCATCAACTATCCTCCTAACTGTTAGTCATCGAGGAATATACAATACACAACCTCTTGCTTTGTACAACTTTTAACAAACCTAGTATGCAGTGGAGGACAGAAAGTAAAGTTTTTCCTCATGATTGCGGCACCCACACGCGATCCGGCGTCTTCTCGTCAGCTGCTCCCTATGCAGCTCCTCGACCTGCTTCCCTTGTTGTTTTTTCCAAGAAAGATAGGTGAAAAAACGTATTCCGTTGTCCAGATTCCTCCCTGAACGATCGTGTGACCTGCTATGGCAGTTGAACTGAACAACCATATCGACGTTTATTAAAATCTCGACAGAAAATCTAAACACAGCCTCCAACACATGCATTTAAATACAGCGGTATTGGGCGCGATCCTGTAAATATGGCGGCGGACCCATAATGCAACACGGCGTGACGTCATCTCCACATTCCCTATTGCATAATTTGACAGTTAATGTTCACAATTAATTATCTTGACAGACACATTATGTTTATTCACTGCTGCCTTCTTGGTAACCAAGTTCAAACTTAAAGAAAAAAAATTGTGACAAAGCTGTAGCAGTGGTGGAAATGACGACACAACTTTGGGAATTTCGGTATTTGTGTAATTTTATATATAGTTTTCACGTAATAATTGAATTTCATTCTTTATATAGATAAATATATTTTAATATATATTTAAATATATTAAATATTTAGATTATGGTTAAGGTTTGACATTAAATGTAAATTTGACATTGCAATTTGTATGCTTTATTTTTGTTTTATTAATGCCAGTAATGACTAGACTAGAGCATTACAATAATAATAAAAACGAAATATAGCCTATATAATATAATATACAAGAGGAAAAGGGCACTTTATGCAATAATATCATACCTGCCCTAGTGAAAAATAAATATACTAAAATGTATTTGAAATACATTTATTGTATGCTAAGTATAATGCATTTACATGTATGTAGCCTACTTAATATAAATACCCTGCAATTGTACTTTTAGTATAATAAACTGATATAGGCTATTTAAAGTCAGCTAAATTGGAACAACTCATTTTGTACTAAATGTAGGCCTATAAGTTATCCAGAAACATTGCTGAAGTTCAACTAAAGATATACTATTTTTATTGTGCTAAAATGGAACTATTGCAAGTATACTTTAGGTTCACTTTAAACATCTTGCATTTAAAGACTATATAGAAAGATCACACTATCCTTACTAGTGATATTAAAACACATTTTAGGCTTAATATTAATAAATACGCATTGTGCAATAAAGTGCTCCAAACAAAGTTTAATTATGATATTTATATCAGTAAGTCTCAAGCTATATTTCAGGTTATATGTTAATGGATTTGCAATATACTTAGTACGAAATAAATGTATTTTAAATACATTTTGGTTTAGGGTTTTTTTCCACTAGGGTGCTCACATTAGCTCTTGCCTTTTTACCTTTACAAGTATGTACAACCTTACAATAAAGAAGTCATCTTAGAGTGTGAAAAAATCGGTTTGAAGTCAGACCATTCAAATTTATGAATGTGAAACTTTCCAATTTGTATGTTTTTTTTATTCATTTATTCTGGTCCTCTTGGTTTGACGTCAGACATTCTTCAAAACCCCAATGACAGGTGTGTTGATGTCAATGGCCACTGTGCGGCAGCAGAGGACAGTCAAACTGATGAATGACAGCTAGAAACGCCATTGGGTTGACTTCCATTGGCTTCTGTGCTTCCCTTATAAACTTTATTACAATAAGTGTTCAGAATGTCTAAATATTACTGTAGAGTTCGTTATTATAAACAGTAAAGCAAAATAGCATATCATAAACGTTTTTAGTTTATTATGCATTTAAAACAATTGATAGAGTTAAATGTATGTAAAAAATAAACTATCTATCTATCTATCTATCTATCTATCTATCTATCTATCTATCTATCTATCTATCTATCTATCTATCTATCTATCTATCTATCTATCTATCTATCTATCTATCTATCATCTATCTATCTATCTATCTATCTATCTATCTATCTATCGATGAACTGCAAATCCCAGATGGCGACACGGGGGCGTGTCGTCACGTGACCCGAGCAAGGTGTTTTCACGCTGTCACGAGCGCTTGACATGAGCGCGCGGCTCTTCGAGGGCTCGCGGAGGTCAGAGCTCAGAGTGCAGGCGGACCGCGGAGAGACACGCTCGCTCAGTTCATCTACAGGAGGATGGAGGTGGAGAACCAACCCAACGGATTTCACTTCTCCAAACAGGACAAATTACTGAGCAGCGGTGAGTTTCTGGTGCCCGTGCACAGTTATTGAGTCTCGGATGAAAATTAAGGTGTTTCAAATACAGTTCTGAATCTTATGTGTAACGCATGAGGACAAAATTCCGGCAAAGTGTATAGGCTATATTATCTCTCCCAGGTGTAATATAAATAGCTTTTAGAGCATTCTCAATGCAACTTTCAGCAATGTTAACGCAATCTTTAGTTTTACCCCTTGTAACATATGGAGTAAAATGTGTGTGTAATGTGATGAATGGACGTATAGAGCTGAAGTTTGGGGATTGGGGACAGTGAGGTCTTTTAAAGCGCTGCTGAGGAATGTTTTTTATATGCACGTCCGCGAGGAATCGTAAAAGATGAACTTTTGAACTTGAGCGAATCACCCTCGAGCGCCACAAAAACACGTCAATGACAACAAACAACCAGCTGTAACATTTTTAATCAGTGGCGTTTCCATATTATGGGGTAAGGGTTAAAAAAAAGATTTATAAATTAATTTTAGTTTAGGTTTGTTTGTTTTTTTGTACCATGAGATATTTGTTTCGAGTCCGTCAGGTTGTTTCAGTCATAGGCTACTAAATAATATTTTCTTGACTTATTTAAAATCAGTTAATGTAGATATTGCCACACAAAACACATTTAGTTGAAATTTTTCAGTCATCATTTGATACTTTTAGTTCTTAATATGAGCATTTGTTGAAATTGGAATCAAACACTGACTTTTTAAGCCACCCCTACACACTAATATTGAAATGCAGTGTAACATTTATGCTATATTATTTTTATAAATCACAAACCTTTCAAACTAATGAATGGGATCATTAAGTAATTTTCTGTATTTGCATCCCAAATGAATCACTATACACTATGCATTTATACAGTATGTACTTGTACGCAACGCACTCATCCATATAGTATATGAATTGTATAAGGTCATTTTGTCATTCAACATTGGAGTCCAACTACATAATTAAAGCTGTCCAACATTCCATACATAGTTTTTTTCCGGATCATCCGGGTATTTAAAGGGTGCTTTTTTCTATTAGGAATTTTCAGTGTGGACACACAACTCACACTAATAATAGCACAGAATGTCCTAGAATAGTGCATAAGTATGTGAATTTGTGTCATTTGCATATTATCATCCATGCACAGTGTAAATCTTTTGTATAATATTTGTACATGTGCAAGTGTCTGCAAATGTGCTTGTTTGAATAGAGAAAAGCCTTCAGTCTAATATTCAGTTAGTTTTCCAAGAAAGAAACGCACATACACTCTAAGATGACCAGCTTGTTTTTAGCAAACACAAAGGTTTCCAGGACTTCCCAGCTTTTACAGCTGCGTTTCCAGCATCTGTTTGGCACAGATATGTGCGCACACCGCAACTAATTTAAATTTTTTAGCAAACTGAGACTCCTAATTTTAACAGTTACATTAAGTCTAGAGGAGCAGCGTTGCTATAGCAACACTGGATAGGTCACTGCACATACCAGAATACAACTGTATAGTCAACAGCCTTGACCTTTCACTTCTGAGTGACCTTTCTCCTCTCACTGACCTT